TGAGGAGACCCATGAACCCTTGACACTGCTTCTTTCCCAGACCCATTTCTCCTTCATAGCTCCTCTCAGCAGCAGTGTCCCTGTATCGCTTTCTCATCTAGTCCTTTTTTTCCTAATCACACCAATCTTTCTTTTCCCTCTTCCCTCCTCTTCTAGGCATCACATCCCCAGCACCTGCCTTAAATACCTGATCACAAATGCTTTATTTGCTGCCATATAACTGAGTCCCCTGACAGGATAGGCCTTATGCTAGCATTCAGCATGGGTGGTCAGCAGAAAAGAGAAATCAGTGCATAGATTTTAAAAAGCCAACTCCAAGCTGGGTGTTGGTAAGGCTCACACCTAAAATCCTAGCTAGTCAGGAGGCTGAACTCTGGAGAATCAGTTTGAAGCCAGCCCAGGCAGAAAAATCTGAGTCTCCGTGTGCAACATAACCAGAGACTGTAGGGTTGGAGGCATGACTCAAGTGATGAGTGTCAGTGACGCAAGCTGAGCAAGCTCAAGGCTCTGAGTTCAAACTCTGATGCCAGGAAAGAAAAAAGTTGAACACCATTTTGGGACACAGGAGTGGGTACTACAGAGAAGCTTCCTAAAGGACAGCTTGGATCCTTCCCCTCAGACACACACAAAATTAAATCTCCATGAAGATGGGTGGAAGAAGGTGATGTTCTTTCAGAGAGCCTTAGCAACTACTAAGAAGATGCTGCCTACTTCCAAAGATATAAGACTGCCTGTGTTTGGCTTTTCATCCTTGCTGGGAGGATAGGCACACATAACCACATTCACAGTTTTCCCTCTGGGCTAGCTCAAACTGTGATCCTCTTAATCTCAACCTCCCAAGCAGCCAGGACTACAGGCAAAAGCCACCAGTAACTAGCTACTCTAGTTGTTTTGGGGATAGGGTCCCACTTTTTGCCAGGCTGGCCTAGAAAACTGGTGAGAGAGGTTCTTTCTTTGGGGCTGAGGATCTACACAGGTAGAAGAAAAAGGGTGAGACAGGAAATTTTCACCTCATTTTTCCTTTTAGTAAATGATGAAATAAATTTATGTGACTTAAAGTTGTTGAAATTTGGGGAATATCAAGGGCTTAAGCCAATGTTCTTGTCATACAATAAGAATTTGATTTAGGCTGGGAAGGCGGCTTAATGGTAGCATGCTTTCCTAGCATGCATGAAGCCCTGAGTTCAATTCCTCAGTAGCACATACATGGAAAAAGTCAGAAAGTAGCTCTGTGGTTCAAGTGGTAGCGAGGTAGCTTTGAGCAATAGAAGCACAGGATCAGTGCTCAGGCCCTAAGTTCAAGCCCCAGGAATGGCAAAAACAAACAAACAAAAACATTGATTTAGAGTTCCAGGCCTTGTGGCCTAGGCCTGAAGCTGAGTGGAAGGCTCCAGGGACCTGCACATAGGCAATCTTTGTCCTGTACACATGGGGGCACTGGCAGCAATAAGCTCTTAGCATTGCTATGCCCCGCCATGATGACTTGATGGCGCTGGTAGTCTCTTGGAGCCCAGGTTACACCTTGCTGTGCCCAGAGGAAGGCCTCGCCCTGCTCCCTAGGATGCAGTGTTCCTGGGTGGTGGCGGGCATGGCACAGCAAGGTGAGAAGAATGGTGGAGGCTTTCAGGACACACAGACAGGCTTGGAAGCTAACCAGCATTTTAGGCCAGGGAGCCTGTTGATCCAGGGCCTGGATCAACACAAGGGGGGGCCTCCCCCTCAACAAAGACAGATGAATGCCCTGAGAGTCCAGTAGGTGAGCAGGGTCCTGGAAGGTGAGCAGAGCCTGGGATAACGGCAGGTGCAAAGGTTGGCAGCCCAGTCAGGCTGGTGCCAGTGGAAAAACAGTAGTGACGACCACAGCTGCCCACTGGAAGTCCTGGAAGATCTACTGGCTGCCTGTAGGTCTGTACACACAATATGAAAAAGCTGCTCTCAACTTCCCCCAACCTTTTAAAAGATGACTTTTAGTCCACGTGGACGGTCCAGATGTGAAGAGGTTGCCAACGTATGATAAAGTAGAGGTAGAAAGTCACACTTGTCAATGCCCATTTGTTTGCAAAGACCATAGACATGTCTTCTGGAAATGATATAGAATGTTAGACCACCTCCAGGTGAGAAGGCCAGAGTGACACTTGTTCATGTTTGTCCTAAGGATGGAGGAGTGGGTGGAGGGGAAGACTTGTGAGAAGGAAGAAGAGAGGGGAGAGGCAAAGATGATCTCTAGTGACAACCATTGATCTGTGTGCATCTATTCTCCTTGCTGCATATAGTTGACTGTGCTTAAGAACCTTTGATGTTCTGAAAAGCCTGAAGTATTTTTAAAGTAGGAGTAGGAAAATAACAAATTTTACAAACGTCTCTATTAAAATTCTTGTGAAGGGCTGGGAAGGTGGCTCAGTGGTAGAGCGCTTGCCTTGCATGCATGAGGCCCTGGGTTCGATTCCTCAGCACCACATAAGCAAAAAGAAAAAAGCCAGAAGTGGTGCTGTGGCTCAAGTGGTAGAGTGCTAGCCTTGAGCTGAAGAGCTGAGGGACAGCGCCCAAGCCCAGAGTTCAGGCCCCACGACCGGACCTCCCTAAAAAAATTCTTGTGAAATGCATTTTTGGGGGAACGGTCAACCACTTGAGTTGTAGGCATAGTGCTGATGCCCTGGTTCCTAGGAGAAAGAAATATAAAGAGGGCCACACCAGTGCTTACAGTGAAGAGTAACATTGTCCCATTTTGTTCTATTTTCTTGTGTACTTAGTGTATATAAAGAACAAAGGAGTCCTAACTTACATCTAGTCTTTCAAGATGTTAGAGAGGTTGCCAGTGTATGACAAAAATAGAATTAGAACACTTTGTAGGCTTTGTGTTAATATCTCTAGAAAAGGTCTTCTGAAAAATCTGAGCATTCTAGCTCCTAGAATGCTCATATTTTTTGAAGACACTTTTCAGATTATGATTAGTTACATGTGTACAGTCAGTGATGGCCGCTGTGTACACAGTGGACGAGCTGAGTCCTTAATTGAAAACATCTAGTCTCTCTAGATGTTTAGACGTGTCCAATGTATATTAAATATCACTTCTTGCTACCATTCACATGAAACACTGTCTTTACAAAATGGATCGGGGGAAACCACCTCTGTGAGCAAAATGGCAGGGACTGCCTATACTCGTTCATTGGTTTGGAGGAGGTGTTAGCAAGCAATTGCAAAGGGTAATATGCTAGGGTGTTCATGCCTGGACATCCTCAGATACCATTTTACTGCTTTTTGTTTTGCTATGTATATAGTGTCTATATAATAAAAAAAAGTCCAAATTTTGCGACATCTAGCCTCTACATGGTAAAGAGGTTGCCAGTGTATGACAAAATAGTAAAATCAGCACATTTTGTGTACTTTGTGTTGAAATGTCATAGGAACCATTTTCTATAAATGACAATTAGATATGAATTTGTTTAACTATCTCTAAGCATTATATATGCCTGTACTTGTCCACTGGTTTGAAGGCAGAAAGAAGGAACTGAGAAGGGAATGGCCTAGGGCCAAAATGGTCATCTTTAGAAGATACCTGGGGTATAGCCACTGTTGCATGTGCAATTGCATTCACCAGTGCTGTGAGCACAACAAGTAAGTTTGCATTTGAAATAGCCAGTCCTAAGTATTTAGACATGTTTGGTGTACTTAAAAGTAGAAGTAGAATAACTGTAGGAGCTTTGCAAACTTTGGGAAATGGAGTTGTTAAACTACCTCTGTGAACAGTGTACTGTCTGTACTTGTTCACTGGGTTGAGGAAAGTGGTGGAAAGGAAACTGCTACAAATTACTTTTTCAGTGTGTGTGAAAAAATTCACACCTTACCCTGTATGTTACATACATTTTGTTTAACTTTGGTGTATCTCATATATTGTGTATAGACTGGACGAATAAGTCCTAATTTTATAGTATCTAGTCTCTACCTATTAAAGATGTTGCCAGTGTATTATAAAAGTAGAGTTAGTAAACTAACACATGTTGTATGTATTGTGTTAAAAGTCATAAAAAGGCTGTCTTCTGAAAAGGACTTGAGAAGCAAAATGGTAACATCTGTAAGTGACTGTGTGCCTATATCAAGTGTGACACTGGAGAGGAATTGGAAAAAATGAAAGGTTCTAGGCTAGAATAGAATGCTCCCACCTAGAAGACACTTTCAGATAGAACCATTGTTACATGTGTGTGGTTTACTCAACACTGCTGTGTATACAGTGGACAATTAAATATTCATTTGAAACATCTGGTCTCTCTAGATGTTTAGAAGTGCACAAAGCATGTTAAAAGTAGAAGCAGTAAATAATTCATTTTGTAGCTATTGTTTTGCTAAAATTCGTAATGACATTTTGTCTTTTGGAAATGGAATGATGAAACAGCTTCTGAGCAGCACACAAGGTTATCTGTACTGGTTCAGGGAGGGAGGGAAAAGTGGGCTTTCTACCAGTGGGTTTATGGTGAAGCAAGATTGACCATTGCCTCTGGAGTCTATGCATTTAAATTTTGTTCTGTATATAGTGTATATAAAGGACAGATGAGTCCTAATTTACAATATCTAGTCTTGCTAGATGTTAAAGAGGTTGCCAGTGACAAAAGTAGAATTAGTAAACTAACACATTGAGTACATTTTGTGTTAAAATTTAAAGACTTTAAACATTGAAGTTGAATTATTAAAAGTCCCCTTGAAACATCATATTTGTGTAAATAACCCTGACATTGGGCTGCTGGAGATGGGAAGGGTTCTAAGCCAGAATCATCCTTTCAAATTAGAGCTTTTGTTAGCGTGTGTGCTTTATGTGGCATTACTTGTATGTTTGTTTGGTGGGAAATTTAAAACCTTATTAGAAGCATCTAGTTTTTCTAGATGTCTAAACATGCATAACCTTGTAAAAGTAGAGGGCTAGCATATTTCCCTTGAAGTATTTTTGTAGTTGACTTTGAGAATGAATTGTAATGTCTTAGAGACTGTGCTGTTCAGTGGGTGGCAGCAGGGGTGGGGTTGGGGAAGGACGTGTGCAGAGAGCAGCTATCTTGTGCCTGTTCTGTTGGTTCAGGTTGTTTAGACTTGGTTGTATGTGTGTATTTTAGTTAATATTGCTAAGTATTAAGGGTTAAGTCTTAATGCTAAAAGTAGGAAGTAAAAAACAATCCCTATATAAATGTCTTTTTGTTAGTGTTTAGGGAAAACTGTCTTCTGGGAGTGAACTTAAGTCCTTATCTTGGAGTTAGTGTCTGGAGTGATGGAGAGAGAGAAGAGGATGCTTTGCTAGCAACTCCATCTCAAAGATGTGCATTTTGGTAAAGTACTTATATCATACACCAAGTTCCCTGTTTCAGAACATCTAATCTTTATAGATGTCCTGAGGTGACAGTGTACAGTACAAAGTAGAAGTAGTGAATTAGCTAACTTGTAAACATTTGTTACAATCAGCAGATCCATCTTGGATGGATTGTGCCACCTCTGGGCAATGAAGTCAGGACTTATTTAGAGGCTGGCAGTAGAGGGTAGGAGGAGGAAGCCTGCAGGGAGAGATGTGTGCAGGTGTACTGATTTATACTTTGATTAGAGACATTGATGTATATGGTTCTGGTTGTACCACAGGGATACATATATTTAGTAGAGACATTCTTCTTTATATTTTAATAGTATATTATGAACCTACTAATGAGCTTAGAAATTGCTTATTATAGCTTGCTTTATGTCTCCTTTTGAATTGAGCATAAAAGAAATGCAGTATTTTAATTATAACTCTGCCAATATTTCTGTCTAGAAGCCTGTTGCTGTTTTTTGTCTTCAGTGGGGAAAAAAAAGCTTTTCTTTTTTTTGTTAGCCATAGGGCTTGAACTCTGGGCCTGTACACTGTCCCTCAGCTCTTTAGCTCAAGGCCAGTACTCTACCACTTGAGCCACAGCGCCACATCCAGTTTTCTGGTGGTTTATTGAAGATCAGAGTCTCACGAACTTTCTTGCCTCACTGGATTTGAACTGTGATCCTCAGATCTCAGCTTCCTGACTTTCTAGGATTACAGGCATGAGCCACCGGCACCTGGGTTCAGTGAAATTTTTATCCCTAAAAAAAGCAGGATTGCATTTTTTTTTTTACCAAACATATTGAGTTAGTGTAGTTTATTCTTGGTTACCAAAAAACAAAGCTTTGGAATTTTGAATTGGTGAATTCATAACATTTGGAAAAGCATGACACATACAATAAGACCTCAGTTACCTAAGAAGGGATAGGTGTGTGTACATGGAGGATCTAGATATTCGTGTCCAATTGAACTGCTGTGGCAGTAACACTTTGCACTTTGCTTATATATGTTTTCTGCAATGCACATGTTAACTTTTTTTAAAAATTGATCTAGTCCTACTTTTGGTTAACTGTCAGTAGGCATCAATAGAGAGAAGCTGTGCAACTGGAATGGCAGAGAGGGAAGTGCAGCAAGAAGCCGTGCTTCCTTATCAGAATTATTCTCATAGTGGTGGGTAAACAAAATTAAGAGAAATCAAAGCAAAATAAAACAAGAAGAGCTATCAAGCATGGTTCAGTGACTTTATTTGTTAAGGGGAAATAGGCAGGGTTGAAAGGAAAAACGTTAATTATGGGCTCTGAAACCAGGTCTTTGTGGAAATGCTAAGGGAAGTGGGGCCACTGGAATGGAAGAAAAGGTCACACACTGATGGCTCACGCAGGTCATCCTAGTTACTTAGGAGGCCGAGATCTGAAGATTAGGGTTTGAACTCTTATCCACAATTAATCAGCAAACAGTCAGAAGTGGAGGTGTGGCTCAAGTGATAGAGCGCCAGCTTTGAGCAAAAAAGCCAAGAGAAAATGTGAGGTCTTGAGTTCAAGCCTCAGTTAAATGAAGTAAGTCAGATGGAAAGAGACAAAGGGTACATGTTCTCTCACATCTCTCTCATAATTTTTAAATAGCCAAGTACACATCTGTGAGGTTGTATGCAACTGTACACATATATATTAACCAAACAGGAAACTGGTACTTGAAAAGCATGAGTGGGGCGAGGTCAAAGGGAAGAGGAAGGTAGATGAATGAAGAGAAATTGGGCAAATGCAGTCATAATATTTAAGGCATATCCTGTGAAATTAGGAAAATTGAGGGGAAGGTGGGTTGGGAGGGATGGGAAAGAATGTTGAAAGGGGTGATCTTCATGAAGAAGCTTCTGTATTTACAAACTGGTTTGTTAATGGTAACTCCTTTGTGCAACTACTTTAAAGATAATAAAAATAATTTTTAAAAGAGGGAGGCATAAGACCATTTGTCTGAAACATACACAAACAGGAATGTTTGGATCTGGCTATCTCTATTTTCATAGAGATTGACTTACAAATTGAACTTAAAGTAGGGCTAGAGGGATTTAGACTTATTATCAAAGTCTAAAGAAAGCATTGCAAGAAGCTTTGTTGTTGGCCACCATCCCTTTTTTTTTTTTCTGGAAAGATGAAGCTTCTTTCAGAAGTGAAAGATACTACATGAATATTTGTTCCCTTTCTCTCTGATCTTATGTTTAGGAGACAGAGGTGGTTTTCAAGAACAAAATCCATGCAAGATCAAATGATTAAATATCACCACAGTGTTAGTTGGCATTGTTTTCTCTTTTAGTCTCTCATGATAACTGGCAAGACATTTTGCTGTGTGCTCTAACGAGTGTGTCTTTTTACTTTTAGTGAGGGGTCAGACAAGGAGATGGAACAGACCTAAAAATAGACATCATAATGTAGCGCAAGACCGTGCTTAGTAGCACATCGGAAAACTGCACGGTGAGCAAAAGCATTTGATGTGAGAATTCTGGTGTTTGTTTCAAGTTCACAGTCTAGCCCTCTCTATTCCATTACTTACTACACAGATGCATGCTGCCCTCTGGTGGCCAAACAAACCTTGTTCCAAAGAGTCCTTGCAAGACATTTCCCCAAATATGCTACAGTTCACAGTTCTTTGTCTTCACTTGCCCACACATGCTAAGAATGTTCCCAGGAATCAATGGAGGTTTCAAATTCCCATGTCTAGTCAGTATTTGCTATATTATTTTCCTTTTGGTCATTTTTTGGGGGTCATTTATCATATAGCACTGATCCTGCAATTTAGTGTTCTTGACGATCACCTTGGCACTTGTGAAACAGGATTCAGGAAATGTGGAATGGACCCAGAAACTATCCACTCCACAATGCCCTCAGTGACACGAACTCAGATGTTCCATGTGGACTGCGGAGAAACCTCTTCACATGCAGCAGTAAGAGGAGACAATATTGAACTGTAATGCTGAAGGAATGCTCAAGACTGTAGATCTTTTCTGGAAAAAATTAAGCAAGTTGCCTTTGTGATCAAAAGTAAACTTAAAATTCCTTTCCAGTTCCTTCTTAGAAGTTATAAACGCACACACACACACACACACACACACACACACACACACACACACACGTGCGCGCCTTGGGTATGCTGGTCCTGGAGCTTGAACTCAGAACCTCTGAACTTGAGAGTCTCTGAGCTTTTGTGTTGAGGCTCACAGTCTACCACTTGAGCCACAGCTTCTTTATTTTTGATAATGAAAATGATCACAGAAATTTATTTATTGGAGTAAGCCATTCAAATTTGTGAATTTTGAACTGTATATTGAATTCTAATCTTTATAAACAGATTAGATAGCTTAAAGTTTACAAATTGTTGTGATCAGACACAGCTCTGTAATAAGTGCACTTAAATAATTAGTGTAGAAAATAAATTCATGCATTAATCTTGAAAATTGTATTACTTTGAAAGTATAGTTATAAAAATATTCTTAAAATATTTTCCTCCCTTATTAAGAGAATAGCTAAAATTCATAGGCAAAAGCATATAAAGAACGCACAGAGCTAAATAAATTATAATGAAGGAGTTGGCAAGTAAAGAGATGATGTTAGGCCTGCATAGGTATATGAAGTATATTATGCTATTCTGGTCTAATGCTATCATATTCTGGTTGAGGAAATGCTTTATCAGAGATTAAGATGATTCTATTTCTTGATCCAGTCAGGTTTCTAAGACAGTGCTAAAACATGAAGGAAATAGATTTCTCCTAGTTCCACCAGGCAGGAGTCTAAGACCAGGCACTAATAGACTTGCTATCTGGTGAGGAGCCACAGCTTCTTAATCAGAGAGTCTCGTGGACTTTCCTGCCTGGGCTGGCTTTGAATCAAGATCCTCAGATCTAAGCTTCCTGAGTACCTAGGATTACAGTCATAGGCCACTGACTCCCAGCCTGATATACACTTTTCAAAATGTTTATTCATTGGTGTTTGGCTTCACCTTGCTGAGAGCGTTTACCCAGAACCCATCCTTGACTTTATGTTCTTGTCTATGAGAAGACTCTATTTTTGGTCATGTTCACCATGGCCCTTCCATAAAGTAGCATGGGTTCTTTCAGTCACTGAACAGATATTAAGGAGCCCCTGCTGTGTGGATGATGCCAGAGCTGCTACATTATCGCTCTCATTGTGAGCAGAAGACACAGTGTGCCACATCTTAAGTGTTCTGAGATTTATATAATACATTTGAAGTAACTTTATAAACCATAAGTTACTAAGTCAATTTTACAGGTGATAATTACATAGAACATGCCCCCAGCGATTCCTAGCAACTTTTCACTCTTGTTTTCCTGGCTTTTAAGCTCTCAAGACACAACAACCCTAGCGAAGCTGAGCTATTCCCATCAATAACTTAACCTACAGACTCCTATTAAAGGAGGACAGGCCACTCCTCTGGCTCTAGGAATACAAGTCTAATTACAATTAATGTATCTGCAGGTATCTCACGCCTGTACTACTCCATATTTATCCAATGACAAACTGAAGTTCTACATCCTTGGGGAAGTTTTCCTATTCTACTACAAAGTTTTCCTATCTACTACAAACTCCTCCCTCCACACACGCACTACATAATTGCACACAAATCTTCTTTGTGCAGCTTTTCTGTATATTATTGTACTATTATTCTTTATGTATAAAAACTCCTGAAGGGTTCTAAAAAGCGTGAGGGTTTTTGGGTTTGGTTTTCTTTTTTTTTATATTTATTTATTTATTTTTTTGTCCCACAGGGCCTACATAGACCCTTTATAAGTATGAAGGTGAGTCATTATCAAAGAAATACACTAATTTCAAAATTGTTAATACCTCAAACTTGACCTATTTTTGGTTACTCCATTCTCTGGAATCTATCATTGATCCCACTAGCAATATAAGATTTTTTTTTTATAAAAATGTGATTAGTTAAGCATTGCTTTTTAGATATCAAAGTGAGCTTTAAAATTAAGCTTCATAGTCCATTGTCTTAAAAGAATATGAAAATCAGATGATTTTCATTGAACTGTAATATTTATTAGGTTAAACTCCAGTAAAACATGAATACATTGCTTCTCAACAGTACCCTCAAACATGTAGAGTTAATGTAAACAAAAATAGATTACTGTTAATTTCTGTAGGAAATGACTAGGTTATGAAATTGAGAGTATATAGTGAATTTTGCATGCTTGGATTGGTGAAAATGAATACTTACTACCAGCTACATTTATAGTCCTAATTCTATGTGTTTATTTACAGTAATTACATGACATAAAAACAAATAGAGCAATAATTCTTATACCTAACTGTCTGGACTTATATGCCAATGTAGAAGTAAAGTTTTCATCACTGATAAGTAAGAAAAAACCCTTGTATGGTTGCTTTTGTCTGAATTTTTGAATATTTTTGTTTTGGGTTGTCCTTGCTGCAGTTTTCAACAAGAGAAAGGATAGAGAGCAATCCATGTCCAGAGAAGAGGAGAAAAATGCAAATCAAAACTATCAAGGTTTTTAAAAATATATTTAAAGTGTGTTTGTTTTTTTCTCAATGCTTTTTTTAACCAGTCCTTGACTTGATCTTACGGCCTGGGCCACTGTCCTTGAGCTTCTTTTGCTTAAGGCTAGCACTCTACCACTTGAGCCACAGCATCACTTCTGGCTTTTGCTGAGTGTTGCATTGCACGTAAGAGTCTCATGGATTTTCCGACCCTGGTTGGCTGCAAACTGCAGATCCTCAGAGCTCAGCCTTCTAAGTAAGATTACACATGTGAGCCACCAACACCCACCTACTTTTTTCTAAATTCTATGCAATTTACCATCTGTTGGTTTTCAAATAAGAAAAATAAGAAAACAAGGATGCTAAAAAGAAGGTTTTTTTTAAAACATTTCAGAGTAGTATTGACAGTTTTGTATCTTTTAAACATATTGCCATCAATGTGTTTACACATTATCAATAACTAAGGGAGATTTTTATCTGTTAACTTAGCATCATTACTATAAGAGTCATGAGTGTATAATTTCTATTGATTAGTTATACAATGTTATGTCTGAGTGGTTTTGTTTATAATTAATTTCACAGCTCAGTAGTTGTATTTTTCTGTTAAATCATACATCACCACTACCAACAAGGAACTTAAATCTAATTCTCTGTGCCTTCCTTCATCACCTGCTTACTCACTGCTGAAGGAGTATCTATTATCTATTACAATGGTGAATGTATGGAAGCAAATGACCTGGGTAGTCATTGTATTGGAAGGTTACCCCCCAGATGATGGAACAACTCTGAATCTTTGCTCAACTAGTGATCTGTAAACAGAAACTGTGGTTTCTTCACTGGCTCAGGGAACCTTGGCAACAACAAATTTCAGTGATGATTATCATGGGTCAAGATGTGAAGGCACATTTTAAAAAATTAGAAATTTCTTTGTTCACCAGTCTTGTGTGTGATGACGTACATAAAGGAATAAGGGAGGAATTTTAATCTCTTTGGAATAACTAGTTTTTGGTATCTATTTGACTATGAAAATAACCTTTAACCATGTGTTTTTAGAACCTTCCAAACTATTGCAATGGCTGTGCCTTCTTCTGGTTCCATACCGCATTAACACGGAGAAGTCGGTAAGATATAATGTAATCCAATAGAAAGAGCTTCATCTTCCATTTCTGTGTATAAGCTACAGTGGGAAGTCTTTTTGCCCACTGTTTATACAAACACAAAGCAATGGAATGGGCCAAGTAAGGAAAACAAATGGGGCTTAGGTACTGGTTGCAGCTAATAAGTCTCTTTCTAAAACAAGGGTGTTGTATTGCATGACTTGTCAGCCCTAAGAGTAAAGGTAATTAATTTTTTTCTTTCTACCCTTACACTATATCTCTCACGAGATCAATTGGATAATCCACACAAAGAAAAGATGTGGGATATTTATTTCCCTATTTTTGGCACAGAAGTGTATTTCAAAGAAGCATTTTTAGGGACATACAGGGCAGAGCACTCTGAGACACTGATGGCAAAACCCTTCCTGGTTTACATTGTATGCTTATTTTTTTAAGAGAAACTCTAAATATATATACATTCATATGTACTCAGTTGTGATTTCTTTGGGGGAGATATTTTCATTATCTTTACATAGTTGTACAAAGGAGTTGCCGTTCACTGAAGCAATTAATATAGTGCATCCTCATCATTGTCACCCCTTTCAACATTCCCATCCACCTCTCCCAACACAGTCCTCCTTTTAATTTTAGTATAATATGTTAGTTTTCATTTTAACCAGTTTTTGAAGAGTATAGTTTGGTGACATTAAAATTTTGTGTTTTTGTAATTGTGGTGAAAATCGAAATGGTAGCAGAAGAATCTTTTTTTTTTTCTTGGGTCCAGTTGTGGGGCCTGAACTCTGGGCCTGGGCGCTGTCCCTCAGCTCTTCAGCTCAAGGCTAGCGCTCTACCACTTGAGCCATGGCGCCACTTCTGGCTTTTTTCTTTTTGCTTATGTGGTGCTGAGGAATCGAACCCAGGGCCTCAGGCATGCAAGGCAAGCGCTCTACTGCTGAGCCACCTTCCCAGCCCCCAGAAGAATCTTTTCTTCTTGTTACTCTGCCCTCTGGACATATAGGTAGAGAAGGTTTTTGAGGTAGAAGATTCTACAAAATTGCCTTCAGATTGTTTTAAATAACTGGTTCTGGTTCCGTAATCCCCATGTACTGCAGTGGCCGCCTCCTTTACAATTAGGGAAATGAGATATGACGTACCATCGCTCTGCTCAATGCACAGGCTTGCACGGCTTACCTCTGTTCACCTCTTTATTTAGGCTTTTCTCCATTGGCTTAATGGAAATCATTCTCTGGACCTTAAAACAGGAAAATCTGCTCAATGGTAATTTGAGAGTTCCTCGATTCAAGCATGTTACATAAGATGCATCACCAGCTTCATTCCATAGAGCAAGACTAATATATGCATGCCATCTTACAACTAAGAAATGGGAAGATGTATACTGATACAGTGAAAGTAGCAGTCAGCCGAGGCCTAGAACCTAGTCTGCTTCATACTTACAAAGTTGTCAGTCATTTCATTTTAAGAAAGAGAGCTGAAACTTTTTTCACAGACAAGTGAATGATGGATAGATAAGACAGTGAAACTCTCTCTTCTATAAATCACCAAGTCTACCTATAAGTATGCCTTTTACTTTGCTAATATTGAAGGTGCTTGAGCAAATTCAATCAAATCTGACAGAAATGCCACAGGACACTAAAGTGGATTCTTCTTCCTCTTCTTCTTCCTCTTCTCCCCCTCCCCACCCCTCCTCCTCCTCCTCCTCCTCCTCTTTCTTTTGCAACACACATAAATTTCTCTGCACATCATATTGTAGAAAATGTCTTCAACTGTTGTCTTTCTCTTTCTCATATGTTCTCTTATCTTAGCATCTCCAATTTCCTTTATATATTTATTAGTTATTTAGAAGAAATGTTAGAGTATTTTAGTGATAATTAGAAAGTCCTAGCACACTATGGCTTCAGTGATAGTTAATAGAGAAATCAACTTATTTCTATGCCCCAACTTTGAAAAGGCTACTTTCATAGGAAATTCAACTAAGTCATTTTCAAGTATTTTCCCATTAAGGTAGGGCCAGAAAAGTAAGAACTAATTCAGTGTCAATGAATTAAGAATCTTGTCTTTCCATGCTAAACTTTTATCTCAGATGACCTCAAAAAAGTGTAATATGTTGTGATTGTTAGTTATAAAGTTTATGAGCATAATCTAGGAAATGTCTATGTTTCTATTGATTTATCAATAAATATGTCAATAGATTCCCTATAGATACAGCTCCAAAGAGGACATTCCCAGAGCTCCATGGTTATCCCCAAAGGCAACAGTGTTCAAGTTGCTCCCAGATAGTAAAGCCATGACTAAGGCTAAACAAACTTAGTCCAGTTTGAGCATCTGACCATCCCTGCCTAGGGGGATAGCTATTTGAGGTTCTTTCTCTATTTTTGATTAAGTGGATATTTTTAAGTTATTCTGCTAATTCTCTATCACTGAGTATATCAGGGTTGGTATCTTATGGTAAATATCTTTTATTCTGCAGGATGCTACAATGAATAGTCACCTGTGAACTTCCTGGAGGAATCTTAGACAAGAGCAAGATAAACATACCTGGATAGGACTTTAGGATTATATTTGTTTTTAAGTGTGGAAATAAGAGTTCACAGGAACATTGAAGTGGAAAAAGAGAGAAATGGATAACAGAAAACCCAACCACCTTGAGTCTAGCCACTGTCTTTTTTGTAGAATGTCTTTTTTATTTTTTTGTCCAGTCGTGGGGCCTGAATTCTGGGCCTGGGAGCTGTCCCTCAGCTCTTCAGCTCAAGGATAGCGCTCTACCACTTGAGCCACAGTGCTACTTCCGGCTTTTTTTCTTTTTGCTTATGTGGTGCTGAGGAATCGAACCCAGGGCCTCATGCATGCAAGGCAAGTGCTCTACCACTGAGCCACCTTCCCAGCCCCATAGAATGTCTTTAGACCATAAAAATAGTGTGCATTGAGCTAGAAAAATGTTCTTAAGCATAGTTTTCTACTGTAGCATTAGGTAACCATTGAACAGCTGAGTTTAGTAGGAATAAGAAATTGATTTTTAAATTTTTATGTAATTTTGTTTGATTAGTGGTTGTTTAATTAGACAGTACAATTCTATTTCAATGGTTTTTTTTTTGTTTTAGTGGGCTTGTGGTTACCTAGTAAAAGATTGCTATCTTCCAGATTTATTATGGTTAGCTACAAAGGGATGAGGGAAAATATAAATTATCCAAATTCCAGATCATCCCATTTAGAGCATGGTGTGTTCCTCTTCTTTCTTCTTTTCTTTAGAGCTGACTAGAATATAGACATCTGGCTTACCCTTCATCATATAAATTAGGACATCATTTTTAGGGATGATAGAAATACAAGTTAGGCTTAGCTATGCCACTACTACTTAAAGATTTACATTTAGTTTTCTTACTAAATGTAAGAAATGCTTACATTTCTTTTTTTTAAATATTCTTCCTATGATATTTCTATATTTCCTTTTTTTTTTCGGTTGTGGGGCTTGAACTCTGGGCCTGGGCACTGTCCCCGAGCTCTTCAGCTTAAGTCTAGCACTCTACCACTTGAGCCACAATGCCACTTCCAGTTTCTGAGTAGTTTATTGGTAATAAGAGTTCCATGGACTTTCCTACTCGGGCTGGCTTTGAACCATGATCCTCAGATCTCAGCCTCCTGAGTAGCTAGGATTTCAGGCTTGAGCCACCGGAACCTGGCTATTTTTATATTTTCTAAATCCAAAGGCTCTCAAATTTTCTCAACCATTATTGTGTTGACTATTCAATCTTTATTTTTTCTTTTTTGGATTTTTAAATATTGAATTAAACATGTCTTCAGACTTCATTTCCATCTATCTTATCTGACATATTTCAATGTTTATATGCTTGAGATGTACACTGAGTAATTTTCAATGATTATTCTCCAATATTATTACTATGATTATCATTATTATTTACACATATGTGCATCATTTGATATTCAGATAGTAATTTCAGAAATTATACTGGAGTCTTGTCACTTTCATTTTCTCCCCAAATTGTTTGATCTCTTGTTTTCATTGTATAATTATCTTTTTCTCAGTTATATATAATTTGATGAGTCATGCTTGAGAGTCTTGGATGTCTAAATTTAATGGTATGTTCTACAAATATTTTGTATAACATAGGGATCAATCTCAAGCATTCTATTGATGAGTTAAGTCCTCAACCCTTGTTTTTTTTTCTATTAGTTTTTTTTCAACCAATTGCCTTTTTTTTGGTAATTTTTTTATTGTGATTGAGTGATTACATAAATTTCATAAATTTCATAGTATTGTGGGATAGTGGTACTTAGTTAAAGTCACAAACACAGTCTAACCTTCATGGGTCAAATTGTCTTTTTTGTGCTCTATAAAGTTTATGAGTTCCATGAGCTTTGACAATACAGTCATTTCTTCCACATTGGGTGATATGTATATTTCTTTCCTTTTGCTTAGTGTCAGCTGTTCCCTCTTTCCTGCTCATTCCCTCCCTCCCATCGTTGCCATTGAGTTGCTTAGTTCATTTTGATCAATGTCCATTGCAGCTAAAGGGTCCCTCTGATATGTTTTGACTTGTTTCCCTCTGGTTCTGTGTCCTCCTCCTAGTTTCCCTCCAATGTGCTCATATATACCATATATGAGGTCAGGAGCATGGTAATGATTCAACCAGATGAGTGGAGGTCCTTTGTTTCTTGAGTCTTGTTTACTTTGGTGCATCACCTTAGGTTTTGGATTTAACATCCACTTATCAAGGAGACAATGTGCCATTTGTCTCTTTGCTCTTGGCTTACCCCACTCAACATGATCTCATCTAGTTCCATCCATTTCCCTGCGAATGCCATTATTTTGTACTTTATAGTGGCTGCATAATATTCCATTGTATATAGATACCACAATTTTTGGATCCATTCATCTGTAGTGGGGAATATGAGTTGTTTCCATATCCTGGCTATTGTAAATAGTGCTGCAATAAACATGGAGGTGCATGTGCTCTTGTATACTAGTTCCTGTTGTTCAGGATAGATGCCTAGAAGTGGTATGGATGGGTCATGGGAGAGGTCAATATTTAGCTTCCTGAGGACCCTCCAGACTGCTTTCCAAAGTGGTTGTATAAGTGTACATTCCCACCAGCAGTGTAATAGGGTTCCTCTTTCTTCTCATACACTCCAGCATTTGTCGTTGGCTGTCTTTAGGATGTGGGCTGTTCTGACTGGGGTAAGGTAGTATCTCAGTGTTGTCTTTTTTTTGCATTTCCTTTACAACCAGGGATGCTGAACATTTCCTCATGTATTTCTTTGTAATTTTTATTTCTTCTTCTGAGAAGTCTCTCTTTAGTTCCCTTGCCCATTTAGTAATTGTTTTTTTGGGTTTGGAAGGGATTAGTTTCTTGAGTTCCCTGTATATACTGTATATTAACCCCTTGTCTGATATATTGCTGGTAAATATTTTTTCCCAGTTAGTTGGTTGTCTTTCTAGCTTAGTTGCTATAGCTTTAGCTGTGCAGAAACTTTTTATTTTAAGGTAGTCCCGTTTGTCGAGTCTCTCTCCAATTTGTTGTGACCCTGGGACTCTGTTCAGGAAGTTCCTGCCTGTACCTATAAGTTCAAGTGTCTCTCCTACTCTGTCCTGCAGTAGTTTCAGGAATTCAGGTTTAATGTTAAGGTCTTTAATCCATTCTGAGTTGATGTTGGTGCATGGTGATAGGCTGGGGTCCACTTTTAGTTTTCTGCATGTGGCCGCCCAGTTTTCCCAGCACCAGTAGTTGAAGAGGTTGTGTTTCTTCCACTGTATGTCTTTGGCTCCTTTGTCAAAAATAAGCTGACTGCAGGTGTGTGGTTTTATTTCTGGATCTTCTATTTTTTTTTTTTTTGTCTGTCATGGGGCCTGAACTCTGGGCCTGGGCACTGTCCACTCTGGGCCTGGGCCTTTAGCTCTTCAGCTCAAGGCTAGTGCTCTACCACTTGAGAGCCACAGCTCCATTTAGGGCTTTTTTTCTTCTTCTTCTGCTTATGTGGTGCTGAGGAATCGAACCCAGGGCCTCATGCATACAAGGCAAGCACTTTACTACGGAGCCACCTTCCCAGCCCTGGATCTTCTATTCTATTCTATTGGTCATCAGATCTGTTTTTGTGCCAGTACCAAGCTGTCTTTGTTATTATGGCGCTATAGTAGAGTTTGAAGTCTGGCATCAAGATACCTTCTTTTTTGCCTAGAATTGTTTTGGCTATTCTAGGTCTTTTGTTGTTACATATGAATTTTTGGACTGTTTTCTGTATTTCAGTAATGAATGTCATTGGGATTTTAATAAGAATTGCGTTGAATATGTATATTAATTTTGGCAGTATGACCCTTTTCACTATATTGTCTGTCTATCCAAGAACATGGAAGGTCTTTCCATTTCCTGGTGTCCTTTATAATTTCTTTCTTTAAGCTTTTATAGTTTTCTTTAAACAGTTCTTTTACATCTTTGGCTAGGTTAATTACTAAATATTTTATTTTTTGAGGTTTGTGAATGGGGTTGTTTCCTTGAGTTCCCTTTCTGTTGTACATTGTTGGTGTACAGAAAGGCAACTGATTTTTGTGGGCTGATTTTGTATCTTGCTACTTTGCTGAAGTGGTTTATAAGTTCTTAAGTGTTTGGGGTTTGAGTTTTGGGATCACAGAGGTATAGTATCATGTCATCTGCAAAAAGGGACAGTTTAACTTCTTCGTCCCCTATGTGGATCAATTTAATGTCTTTTTCTTGCCTTATTGCTCTGCCTAAGGATTCCAAAACTATATTGTAGAGGAGTGGTAAGAGTGGGCATCCTTGCCTTGATCCTGATTTTAAGAGAATTGTTTGTAGTTTTTCCCCATTAATTATAATATTGCCTATTGGTCTGTCACATATGGTTTTTATTGTTTTAAGGAATGTTCCTTCTATTCCTATTTTCTCCAGAGCTTTTAACATGAATGAATATTGTAAATTGTTAAAAAACTTTTCTGCATCAATGGAGATAATCATGTGGTTCTTGACCTTGAATCTGTTGATGTGATGGATTAAATTTATTGATTTACGTATGTTAAACCATCCCTGAATCTCTGGGATGAAGCCTACTTGGTCGTAATGTATGATTTTTTTGATGTGTTTCTGGATTCTGTTGCTAGAATTTTGTTAAGGATCTTTGAAACTGTGTTCATCAAGGAGATTGGTCTGTAGTTCTCTATTTTTGTTGGGTCTTTGCATGGTTCAGGGATGAGTGTGATATTGGATCATAGAATGAGTTTGGGATAGCTTCCTCTATTTCTATTTCTCGGAAGAATCAGAAATATGGATATTAGTTTCTCTTTAGAGGTCTTAGAGAATTCCTTAGTTAATCCATCTGGTCCTGGGCTTTTTCTTGTTGGAAGACTTCTGATTGTTACTTCTGTCTCATTGTATCTCATTGTTATTGGCTTATTTAATTGATTTATTTATTCTTGGTTCAGTTTGGGCAACTTGTATTTCTCTAAAAATTCATCCATTTCTGCTAGATTTTCTTTCTTTAGAGAGTATAGTTTCTGGAAATAGTTCTTTATAATTGTTTGGATGTCTTGGATATTTGTTATAATTTTTCTTCCTGGCATCCCTGATCTCATTGATTTGTGTTTCCTCTTTTCTTTTTTAATTTAATCTTGCAAAAGGTCCATCAATTTTATTAATGTTTTCAAAAACAGCTTTTTGTTTTATTAATTTTATTTATATTTTTCTCAGACACTATCTCATTGATTTCAGCTCTTAATTTGGTTATCTGGTTCTGTCTAGTAACTTTAGGTGCAATTTTTTCATGCTTTTCTAGCAGTTTCAATTGCAACATGAGATTATTTACTTGGTCTGTCTCTATTTCCTTCCTTCTTCCTTCCTTCCTTCCTTCTAGTGATACCTGTCTAATGTGGATTCCTGTTCTTGACTGCTTTCTTCAGGTTGTACTCCCCCTCTTAATATTCTTTGCAATTCTGGCTTATTGTTTATGAATGCATTTAGTTTTTAGTTACTATCAAAAATTTTAGTTTTTCCATCGAATATGAATGCTAGCTTTGCTGGGTATATCAGTAAGGGTTGGCAATTATTAGTTCTCAGGGCTCAGATCGTACTTTCCCAGGCCTTTCTTGCATTCAGTGTCTTTGTAGAGAGATCTGCAGTGCTTCTGATTTTTTTCCTATTATAGTATAGCTCCTTCTTTGTTTTTATTACATGCAGGATTGTTTCTTTATTATTCAGACCTATCATTTTTACTGTAATGTGTCTAGAAGTGATTCTTCTGGGATCCTGCTTGTTAGGTGTTCTATATGCTTCTGTTATGTAGGTAAGATTTTCTCCTTTAAGATGGGGGAAATGTTCATTGATAATCTTGCTAAATAGGTATTGCATTCCCTTGCTTTGATATTCTTCACCTTTGTCATTCCAGTTATATGAAAGTTAAATTTCTTGGCACTGTCTGTTTGCTCTTGGATTTCCTTTTTGCATAATGTAAGTGATTTTTCCATATCTGTGACTTTTTTTTTCCAGTTTCTGCATTTGTTCTTCCATATCTGACACTCTAAATTTCATTTCATTCACTTTGTTAACTATGGCTTCCATTGTGGTTTGCATGGAGGAAATTGATCCATTGATGGATTCTATGTTGGTTCTCAGGGTATTAATCTCACCTCTCCATGAAGTGTGTACTGGATCTATTTTTGCATACATCCCCTGTTTGAAATCCTGTATCTCTTTTGATAGTTTGTTTCTGTGTTCTTTAAATTTCTGATCTATTTCTCACTTTAAAATTCTTGAGTCATTGCCTCCAGCATCTCTTGGATGTAGCATCTGTCTTCCATTCCTGCTTTTGTTCCACTGGGGCTCTCCCCTGGATGGCTGTTGGCTTTTAGGGGTAGCTTGGTATCCTGGGTGTTGATAAATCTTGTAATTTTTCTTTCTGATTTTCACATGGGGATTCAAGGATTATTGGAGACTAATCTGAAATTCTAACTGTTTTGGTCAATAGGTGGATGCCTTTGCTTGGTTCTGGGTTGGTTCCTGGATCAACTGATGAAGCTCGCTTTCAGCCCTGGGTTGGCTGAGTCAGTGTTTATCTGGTCTTGGTTCTGTTGGGGGAGAGGTCGACCCCCAGCTCCTAGATTGACCCATATAGGGCTCTCAGCTGTCTGCTGTAGATTCACTGGAAGTCCCCACCTTTAGCCGAGGACTGAGCAGCCAAGACTGCTCCTGCTTACTCTTACAGATGCTCTTGGTGAGATTGGGTGTGCTGGATGTACTCTTCCAGTTGCTGGAGTCTGCTATGAGTTCCTGACTATAATCAGTTGTTGGCAGCCTGAGCTGTCCAATCCCCAGCCTGGGATATATAGGTGAGGTTCTGGTGGGGTTTGGGCTTCTGGTTCTCCTGCCCTGGACACACAGGTCTTTTGTCATCATGGGCACAATTCCCAGGGGGTGTGGTTCCCTGCTTTCCTCCTTCTGCTGAGGTATGTGCTCAGTTTCTGACTTCAATTAGGGTGAGTGGTTTGTGCAGCTCAGGCACCTGATCCCCAGGCCTGGCCCTGGCTCCTAGTCCTCTGCCTGGGGCATGCCGGTTGGAACTGTGCTGGTAGGTATCCTGCCTGGGGTATGCAGCCTGGGGTATGCAGTTTGGATTTCTTCCACTGCTGGCTGTTGTGGCCTGTGGGTGCTGTTCCCAGCTTGAATGTTTAAGCTCCCATTCAGGGATACTCTTGATCTATCCTTGTGGGGTGGATGTGCTCCACGTGCTGGTGGGGCACTTATACAGTTCCAAGTTTTAGTGGGACCTGTAGTCCAGGTGTTGGGGCAGGGGTCTGGGTCACGCTCTGGGGGTTACCGCCAGTACTGGTCTCCCTTTGCACTGTCCCTGGAGATAGTTGGGAACTCTTGCTGTGGCAGATCGCTGTTTCTAGGTGATGCAGGTCGCTGTTTGCCACTGTGCTCTGTGTTCGGTTAAGATGCTTCTGAGCTGGGCTGGGTGGTGGCCACTCTGGGTCAGTGTTTCTCCCCATCTCTGCTTCTGTTGATGCTGTCCAGGTTGGTGGCAAAGGCCATTTTTGCACTGGCCTCTGGCCAAAGGGTGGGGGAGGGGTCTTCCCTCAGGTTCTGAGCTCTGAGCTTTCTGTCTCTGTTTGCACTCTCTGGGTCAGCACCAGCACCTTGGGAGTCTTTTGCACTGGCGTTCTGTGGGCAGACCCCTGCAGTTCTGGGGTTCGCCCCCCCAAGTCTGTGGGACCAAGTGGCTTTGGCAGGATGGAGCAGTGCTGCTCTGTCAGTGAGGGGTAGGGGAGGGATCTTTGTGCAGGTTCCATGCTCCGAGGTTTCTCTGTTTGCAATCAGCAGGTCTGACACTGGCACCTTGTGTTTTCTGTGCTGGAGATCTGCAGATGACCCCCTATGGAAATGAGGTCTCTGGTAGCCCCTGCTGGGCCAGACTGGCTATGGTTTGGTGCGTTGCTGTGCTGCCAACAAGAGCTGGGGGAAGGGTCTTTGTTCTTTTCCATTCTGAAATTCTTCCTTTTCTTTCTCTCT